TGGTTTAAGTCACTCAGTTCTTAGCGGGGCCCCAGAAGAAACTGAGGCTCAGAAGCCCCAGTACCCTGCCCAGAGTGACCCAGCTGGGTGGCAAAGGGCTGTGTCCCAGCTCTGTGTCACCCCGAGGGCTGCTGTTTGCTCTTCCCTCTTCCTCTGCCACCTGCCTTCACGTAATTAAGTGATAATGAATTCATCTCTCTATTTTTGTTATTTATCAAAGCAATATGTAGCTGTCAATCAGAGCGTCTGTTGGGCAAGAGGAAAGAGGCGTGCAGGCTGAATCCCTGTCATTCTGGCCCCAAAGCACAGGACTGCTGCCAGCCCAACAGCCTGGTAGCTCTGTTGGGGGGAAGTGGAGGCAGCCAGAGGCTCATTTCGAGCTACCTCAATGTCAGCGCTGATGACCGCCACCAGGGCCAGGGCATATGCTGACCGTGGGATTGTGACGGCAGTGACTTAGTAAGTACCGACTCTGTGCCAAGTACTTGGTTGAGCACTTGAAAGCGCCATCAGGGTGAGGAAAGAGGCTCAGAAAGGGTTAAGTAAAGTGCTCCAGGTCCACGTGTGGCTAGATCCACAGCCACCCAGGGCTGCAGGCTGCGTCAACCAGGAAGGGAAGAGTGAGAAGGGCAGGTGGACCCAGGTGCTTGTGATGAAAAGCTCCGGGCCAGAAGGAAAAGGAAGCTAGCCCGCCTGATGCAAGAGGTCGTGTGATGAAGTGGCGGGGGGGGGGTGGGGGAGGCTGGGCGGAGGGACAGGGCCAGTGCCAGCCAGCAGGACAAGGAACTAGGGCACCTTCCTCAGATTCCACAGCAGATTCACAGTTCCGTGGCTGCCTGTCTTTCGGGCAGGCGTCAGCTTACAGAGAACCCTCCAGAGCTCTCCCTGGGCTGTTGTTAGCTGGGGGGTGGGCATCCCTGAAATTCTGTCGGTCTGTCCCATACCTTTTGGCCATGGAAGCTTCTAGAAACAACACTGAATGAATGGGCGGCAGGGGTGGGGTGGGGGAGAATGAGAGCGAGTGAGAGAGAGATGAGAGAGCGGGAGGGAGGGAGAGAGAGGCTGAATATAGCCCGAGGCTATGGGGTGGGGGAGCTCAGGCTCTAAGATGCAAGGCCTCTCTCTGTGCTTGGCATCAGGCAGAACTCAGCACATGTCATCTCTAAGTCCTACCTTCAGAAAAACCTATGATCCTGAGCAGGTCACTTCTCCCTTCTGAGCCTCAGTTTTCCCAGCTGTAAAATGGGGAGAGGGGCTGGAGTCAGCTGGCAGCGTGGCGGATGGCAGCGCCTGCTGTTTCCCCCCAGTTTCCCTCCACCACTGACCTAGGGCCGCATCTGCTCACCCACACTGAATGGCTGGACCAGAAGACTGCACAGTGGTTTTGAGGAGCATCAAGGCTCGAGACTTGTAGGGATGAGGCCAGGACATAGGTGCCCATGAGAATCATCACACACAGCCTACCTCTCTTGCACTCGGGTAGACTGAGGCCCAGGGATGACACCTCCTAGCTGTGGCAGCCGAAGGAAAGCCAGCTCTACTTCCCAGGGGCGCTGGCTCCCCTCCTCCTTGCCCCTCTGCTCTCCACAGAGTTCTGGCTGCCATCCTGGGACCTGCTGGGCCCCAGGAGGCAGCAGCCACTTGCACAGTGGAAGCAGAACAAGCATTTTGTGCTCTGAGAGGCCGTCTGCGGTGGTTCCCAGCCGGCACTCGGCTGGGCTGGGCTCCACGGGCACAGTGAGGCCTTGTTTCCCTGAATACAGCCTCAGCAGCTTTGTGCCCCGGCCAGGGACTCTGGCGAGGGGCACTTCCTTCCCCTGAGGTCCAGCTCTCTGGCCCCTTCCTGCCCTGTCACCCCTCCCAACACCCCGGCCAGCAGTGCCACTGCCAAGAGGCAGCTCTGAGGAGCCCACGGAGGCGCGTCTCCACTGAACGTGGTTCCCCAAAACAGCCTGAGTAAACTGAGTGCTCTCTGCAGGTACAGCTTCCAGATCGTTCTCTCCACTGGTTCCCCACCAAAGTTGTCTCTCTCAAGCTTGCTCTTTAGGGGTATCTGTGTTCCCCCAAACACTGCCGTGGTCTGGGGGATAAGAATACTACAGAAACACAAGAGAAGGGTGACTGGAGGAGAAAGGTAAATGGGCTGGTGGTGGCTGCCCGGAGGAAAAGTCAGCCACACATGGAAAGGGATGTTGGGATGTGTTTCAAGACATTGACGCAGGTATCTGTGATAGAAAACTCTGAAGGGAAGATCATGGCTTTCGGAGCTCCTGGTCCGAGTTCCAATCCTGATCCTACCATTTTGTAACCGTGAAGTCTTGGTAAGTAACTTTAGTAGTGTGTGGCCGGACTCCATCTGTGCAAGGGTGAAGAAACTATCTTGGGCCACGGGGTTGGCGGGAGGCATGCACGAGCTCCTTCTCAGCCCTATGGCTTCACGGATCTATGACACATGGGAATACCCTCAGGACTACTCCACAGGCCAGATCTACCTGGAAGTCACAGCTGCCCTAGGGCTCAAAAGGAAGGAATGTGGATTCCTGCTCTCCAGGCCTAGTCAGTGGAGACTGACGCAGGGTCCTCTAGTCCTTGAACCTCCACATAGCGGTCGGGGGTGGCATTCTAGCAACAGCACGGGCTTCTAGTCACCCAAGGCTGGGACCCAACCCTCTTCCCCTGTGTGAGGGCGAGCTGTGGGTGTGGAGAAGTGAGAAGTGGGAAGAGCCTCCCGAGCCCTGGATGTCCGGAACGCCCCCTTCCTGGCTTCCTGGTTGGTGCCTGGGCACGGTCAGCTGGGTGTGGCTGGGGCTGCCAACCCTTTACCTGCCCACTGCTTTCCGCTATGGGACTCCCTGCAGACCCCTCCAGAACTCAGCTTCTGTGAGTTTACCCCGTCCGGGCTGCACTCCAGCCTAGTACCTATAGGACCCACTGTTCCCTTTCCAGGAACCCTAGGTGGCGTGACAGGAAGTAGGGATGACTGTCATATGGAGGGGCATTGGCACCATCCCTAGCCCTGTGGACACTCGCGTTCTCCCCCTCCATAGTTTGATTTTTGTGGGGTGTGGAATGACTGAGCACACAGGTCTAGAGGATATCCTTCCAACCCAGTGAGGGTACAGCTTGGAATCATAGGAACGGGAGGGAGGGTAGAGGTGGGAGTCCCTGGGCAGGGCACATAACAAGGGGCTCCTTTCTGCCCGGAGCCAGTATGGGCACCAGGGATTGTATGGAAGTGGGGGGGGGGCTGCTGCTGGGGAGAGGCCATCCTTCTGACAGAAAGCAGGGGAGTCACCACTGGGGTTGGGGGAGCAGGGATGTGGACCCACAGTGTATGGAGGAGATCTCTGTCCTGAAGGGATGATAGGGGAGTTACAAATGTTTGCAGATTGGGGGACAGGGACAGGGGAGCCCCTTTCCCGGCAAGACCACGTTAAGGAAATGGGACCTGGCCAGCAGAGTGGGTGGGAGGGGGTGGGAACGGCTGAAGGGTTTTCACCACAGTAAGTAAACACAGAAAAACTGGTGTGTGTGTGTGTGTGTGTGTGGGGGGGGTCCCAACCTAGAACACGAGGGGCCAGAGCTCAGCAGAAGAAATTAAAGGGCCCTAGGAAAAGGCAGATTTCTGTCACGGGTGCCGGAATGACCCCCTTGAGAGGCACTAGGGGTGCCTGAACCGCGGTGGGGATAGGGGGTCTAGTAGCTGGGAGAGGAGGGGAGGCCACCGGCCCTTTCTCGGTGTGTGTGGGTGTAGGGTGGTGGTAGGCGCAGTAACTAACAGTGAGAGGGCAGTCGGCACCCTGTGTGGTGGTGGGGACTCGCGGGGGACCTGTGATTATCTGGAAGGAACCTCGGGTGCCCCCAACCCGTGTGGGGTGTCCTGGGGGCAGCGCCAGACGGGGAGGGGGTCACGTGCCAGGGCCAGGAGGGAGGGTCTCCAAACCCACTCGCGCGCTGGACTGGTGGGTCTAGAAGCCTCGTGGCCCTCTGGAAGGGGCAGCAGAGTTCTCCGCCCTGGTGAGTCAGGGTCCTGGGGGAGCCTGACTGGGGGATACTGGGGGTTCGGGCCCGAGGCCGGGTCTAGGGGTGGCGGGGAACGGGGCGCGAGGGCACTCACTGCTTGAACATCTTCTCCATGTCTTTGATCTGCTTCCTGGAGAACTCCTTGAACTCGGTGTAGGGGTTGAAGACGCGGCGGCTGGGAGACTGCGGCTCGCCGATGCCCTGGTTGAGGTCCGCGCGCCGCAGCAGCTTGGCGCTCAGCTCGTCGTCCGCGCTGCCCAACGCCTGGGCAGCTTCGTCGGGAGCCCCGGCCGCCGCCGCCGCCGCCGCCCCGTTGAGCCCCGGCTGCTCGGTCGCCTCGCCGCCTTCGCCCTCCATCTGCAGCCTCCGGCTCAGCTTGCTGGCCAGCTCGTCCGTGGCCATGGTGGCCCGCGCGCAGCTGCCTCGGCCGGGCCCCTGCTCCGCACCGCACACTCGGCCGCGCTCTTCCTCTTCCTGACACTCCCCGCCGATAGGCGCCGCCCCGAAGGTGGGACTTAGGGGACCGCCCACCCCCGGGCCGGCTCCCGCCGCCCGCGCTACGCGCCGAGTCCCTCTGGGTCCCCGGGGAGGGGGTCAAGTGCAGCCTGCTCTTCAGCTCTTCATCATCGCCCCCCTTCCCCCCGCGTGAAAAACCGTCAACATCCCTCCGGTGACCTCTGGGGGACCGCCGAGCCCCGGGAGAATCTCTAAAAGGAATCTGGGTTGGGTGGGTGTCCCAACCCTGCGAGAGGGAAGAGGGTCCGCTCGCAGGAGGTGGGTGTGTGTTCAGGGACTGGAGAGGGTCGCTCCCCGCATCCCCTTCTCTGGAATCCCCACCGTTTGTGTCTCTGACACCCTGTCGGTTGCCATGGAGACCACTGGTCGTGAAATACTGGGTGTTCTTGGTAAGGTTGCCGGAGTCTGAAGAAGGTGGACCCTGGCGCTGGAGTCCAGTTGAGATTGTCCCCAGAGCCGAGTGGCTGGCATCTTTCAAGGGTGGGGCAGCAGTTGTGAGGGAGATGGCACCTTACCCGAGTCCTCAAAGGCCCCCCCCAGAGAACTGGGAAAGGGGAAGGGGCTCGTCCTGTTAACACGATGATTCAGCACAATAGCTGCTTGATCTGGTTGATGTCTGGGACTCCACCTTAGTGGGATTTCAGAGAGATTTTGATGTTGCCTCCTTGATGGGGATGCCAGAGGAGTGACCTCCTCCCCAAAGGCTCAGGAATGGGGACTGGAAAGGGAGAGTTCAGAGGATTTGGCTCAGTCATCTAGTCTGTCACTTCAAAACCCCAAATCTGGGCTGGAGAGAAGGCTCAGCTATTGAGTGTGGTGGCTGCACTTGCAGAGACTGAGTGAAGATCGGTTCCTAGCACCCATACAGGGGTGTGGAGATTGGGGATGGCAAGCCACGAAGGCCTATACCCCAAGGTTCAGGGGACCCTCCTTATGCACCTACACTGGTGCACACACACCCCTCCCCCACATACACATAATTAAAAATAAAATCTTTGAGCAGGGCGTGGTGGTGCAGCCTTCAGTTCTAACACTCAGGAGGCAGAGGCTGTGAGTTCAGAGTCAGCCTGGTCTCCATCAGGAGTTTCAGGACAGCCAGGACTGCATAGTGAGACCCTGTCTCAATAAACAACCAACCAACCAACCAACAAATGAATGAATGAATAAGTAAACCTTAAAACTGCAAAGCTACTGAGATCCACTGCCAACTGCAGGGGCACTAGCCATAATGCTGATTCCCAGGCCCCACCTAGACAGACATGTGGGCCCTTTGGCATCAGGGGTCCAAAAGGTTGCTTTCCGTGAGCACCTGGGGGAGGTGTTACTCTCTGGCACAGATGGGGTGTATATTCTCTCAGATGTGAGGGCAATGCTGGAGAGCCAGATACTGCCCCCTCCCACAGGCGAGGCTCGGAGAAAACCAGGCTAAAAAGCAGTGCCGTGGAGACAGAGGGCACCCACGAAGGTGGGTGATGCAGGCTGCCACAGGATGACTTGCAGAGGAAGACATTCGATCAATATTTGTTGACATGTTCAAAAACATTGTTGGATTAAAAGGTATTTGAAAGAATAAAACGGACACCAAAAGAAGTCTGTAGTTTAGAAAATGCGAAGTTTTGATTCACTGTTTGTGGGGTTGTTAAGACTAATAACTGTGCTAAGCCTAAGAGATCTTGTTTTCTTAAAGACCCAGAGTTATGTGTTCTTAGCGCTGGGTGTTCTGGTCCAGTTACTTGTGAAAGAAACAAAGGGAAGGAACGTATTTTACTCACTTAATAGAAACAAAGGATGGGGAAGGAGGGAGGAAAGATTTGAATATTTAAATTACGTCTGCACATACCTAGGTTTGTCCAGATGGCCTTTGCAAAGTGGGTAGGTGCCTTTCAAGGCTCTGGTGAGCCTCAGTTTACCCAAACTTATGACTTTTTTTTAGGTGGAGTTCATGTAGCCCAGGCTAGCCTCGACCTCACTGTAACTGAGGATGACGTACTTCTGATCTTTCAGCTTTCTAAATGCTGCGAGTTTAAGATGTGTGCCCTTGGATCCTGTTTATACGATGCTAGAGACTGAACTTGGGACGTTGAGCATGCTGGGCCACGGCTTTACCCTTTGATCCACATCCCCAGCCCCATTTTTTGTTTTGTTTTGCTTTTGAGAAAGGGTCCCACTTTGCAGTCGGAGGACTTGAACTTGCCATGTGGTCTAGGCAGACCTCAGACTGGAGATTCTCCTGCCTCCGCGTCTGCTGAGCTGCGATCACAGGTGTCTGCGATCCTCGTAGGACATTGTGACATCTAAGAGTTCTGTGCGACACAGAAGCGTCTTCACTGTGGATAGTTTTGCATCTGTTTGCCTTCACTGTGGTGAAATTACATGAAGGGTCTGCTGTCTCGAAAAACAATGCCTGTGAGAGAAGTCTGGGGTTTGAGTTTGAACTCTTTGAAGGATATCTGTGTGCGTTAAACCCTAGTTAACATCCCACTTAGCTTGCATAGGTAAGATCCTTGGGAAGGAGGCTGGACACCCTCATTAATTATTATTCTTTGGTGTGTGTGTGTGTGTGTGTGTGTGTGTGTGTGTGTGTGTGTGTGTGTGTGTAGCTGAACTTGTAGAGACCAGAGGACAATTCTTAAGGGTTTTTTCTCTCCTTTCATGGTGGTGGCACTCAGTTAAGCACCTTTGGGATGACACTCAGTTAAGCACTGTGCCTGCTGAACCATCTCAACAGATGTTTGCTTTTGAGACCTGGGTCTCACTCTGTCACCCAGGCTGGTTCAGAACTCACTAGATAGTTCACCCAGGCTGGTTCAGAACTCACTAGATAGTTCACCCAGGCTGGTTCAGAACTCATTAGATAGTTCAGGCTGGCCTGTAGCTCCCAGAAATCCTCCATTTCAGCCCCCTGAGTACTGAGATTACCCAGCTTAGAAAGCTCTATAGACAACTCTTGGGATTCCTATCTCTGTGCGTGTGCACGTGCGTCTGTATGCATTTGAAGGACAGAGGCCAACTTTGGCTGTCCTCTCTCCGGCACCCTTCACCTGTGTTTTGAGATAGAGTTTCTCGCTGGCCTGGAAATTGCAGAGTATATTCTTTACAAGAGTGTTGGGGATTGAACTCAGGTCCTTACACTTACATGACGAGCGAGTACTTTACCGCCTGACCTGTCTCCCAGTCCTAGGTGAACTTCCTCATATTTCTCAGGGTTTACAGAACCCTGAGGCTCTGGGACACGTGAGGCAGGTGCACATTGCCCTGCTGTCCCAGAGGCAGGCTGCGGTCTGCCCTAGAGGGCAGGCTGCCAAGACCAGAGGTGCAAGTAGGAGGCTGCATTTCATCTAATTTTTTCTTTCTTCTTGGGGTCATTGGATTTCAGGGAGACTTTTTTTTTTTTTTTTTTTCATTTTAGAAACTAAAGCAATAGCGAGGGAGAGAAAAGCAAAGGCAATTGATGGGCTCTGACTGGAGACAGAACATCCAGGAAATGCCAGTTGGCTCTTTATTAGGGGAAGTCCCTTTAACAATGACCATGAGTTCTGTGAGGTGAGCATGGATTCTGGCACCAGGAAAGAGCTATTCTGGTGGCACATTCCAGCATTTGGTCACGAAGAAAGAATGATCTTCAGGAAAAATCACCCCCTCAGCAAAGGATTTCTACCGAGGTTGGGGCGAGTGAGAGCCAATTCTGACGCTCTTGCAAGTGGGAGCCAGGGAGACTTAGTCATCGTTGACATGCCTTTTCTGCCTCCCACATTTACTTGTATAACTGTCTTCTGGGGAGGGATGAAGTCACATTAAGAAAAACAACAGCAGTTTGAACAAGAGAAGGGATGGGCTGGGAGACGGCTCAGTGGGTAAAAACAGTTTCTACGCAGGCATGAGGACCTGAGTTCGAATCCCAAGCATCCACACTTTAAAAAAAAAAGCTAGCCAGGCAGTGGTGGTGCTCACCTTTAACCCCAGCACTCGGGAGGCAGAGGCAGGCAGATCTCTGTGAGTTTGAGACCAGCCTGGTCTACAAAGCAAATTCCAGGGCAGCCAGGACTGTTACACAGAGAAACCCTGTCTCAAAAAAAAAAAAAAAAAAAAAGAGGAAGTATGGCTGTGTACACTGTAGTCTCAGCACTAGTCCTGTTGTGGCAGGAGAATCACTGGGGTGTGCTTCCAGCCGAGCTCAAAGATCAGTGAGAGACCATTTATCAAGGGAATAACGCATCGTGACACAGTGGGACACTGGACGTCACCCATGTGAGTGCACACACACACACACACTTGCACTCAGGCATGCCTGCATACCCAGAGAAGACAGAAGGGAGGAACAAGACAGGGTTGGGAGGAGCTCTGGGTTGACCGGAGAGGGTATGACCATTGGGGCACATTCCACAGTCTGAGAGAACTGGGTGGTCCCTTCAGCCCTGGGGTTCTGAGGACTCAAGAAAGGGATTAGTGAGGCCTTCAGAGATAACAGTGGGTCAGAGCATGCCATACGCAGCGTTTGCCTAGCACTCGGGAATGCTAGCATACTAATTAATCACTATAAACATCCACAGTCTCTGGGAAGCCCCAGATAGACCAAGAAAGATGCGTGGAAGTCAAGGGATCCATCAATACTACTCGCAACATGGTGATGGCCGGGCAAGGGGTCACAGTCTCTCTTCAGTCTCTTGCAGCATCTGGAAGCCACTCAGTGGGTACAGTGGGGGTAGTAGCTGGTGTCAGCTGGGGACCTAAGGCCCCCTTGTGTGGAGAAAAGGGACCATTTGAACTGTTTATAACTCATGTATAGGGCTTTCTTTTGGAGTTATCTTGGAGATTATGAATTGACTTGAGAACCTTGATGGCATTTCAGATTGCTTACATATGGGCTGGGGGATGTAGCTCAGTGATAGAATGCTTGCTTAGCATGCATGGATCCCTGTGTTAGATCCTCAAGGTTGCTAAGAAGAATTAGTTGCATAGGCCCAAATAGGTTGTGATTGTTCTAAATTGTCACCCCCTCAGCAAAGGATTTCTACCGAGGTTGGGGCGAGTGAGAGCCAATTCTGACGCTCTTGCAAGTGGGAGCCAGGGAGACTTAGTCATCG